TCAGGACTGTTAGGTGCTATGGTCTTCTGCTCTTTTATCAAGTTATCATAAAATTTTCTATTGCTGTGGTAATGTAAAAGAGGTAGAAGCTTTTCTAGAGTGTCCAAAAACGTCACATGTTGTGTACATGTGACTTTCTTAGACGAAACGGAGTGGACTTGTGATGTTTTTAGAAGAACAAGCTAAATTTCATATTTAATTATTATGGAACCTATGACATTTATACGAGAAACACTTATTTGTATACGTATATATGGAGGTTAGGAAACAGTTGGTGCTAATATCTAAATTTCGACGATATTGGACTAATGATGTTTTTCCGAGAAACGCCTCAATTAAATATTTTAACTTATAAACGCCTCATTTAAAAAAGAAAAAAATGTTTTTAATATGTTACTGGAGACCTAAGTACCTAATTACTTTTTTGTAGAATTTGGCTCCTGAAGGATCATATATATATATTTTAACTGTTTAATTTTTGGCATAATTTAAAGAATTTTTATGTTAGGAGAAATAAAACAGCATCGGTTTGAGATGTCATAATAAATGTGACATGTGATATGGGACGATCGCATTATAGATTGCCAGTCAGAAATTGCGTTTTCCTGGCAAATGGATTAACCGAAGAGCACCGTTAGAGTGGCCCCCAAGATCACCAGATTTAACCCCCTTGGCTATGGGGATACATCAAGTCGTTAGTTTATCAGACTTCACCTGTATCGATACAAGATCTACTACATCGAATAGTTGAAGAATGCCGAAACATCACACCAGAAACTTTTGAAAAAGTAAATTTGGTAATCGTCTTTACTATTGCCTTCAAAATATAGAAGAACATGTTGAACTTTAATTAATTATTATGTAAAATATTTTAAACCACAATGAGTATTAATTGTTGCACCTGATTGAATGCGTTTTTATGAAAATAAGAACAACTTTTTTTTGCAGAATCGTTAAAATAATTAAAAGGCCTTTCACATGACCTATAGTGTATTGAAGATTTTGAGGTTAGGGTGGCTACATCCGATTGTGTAGATCGAGGTGAGTTGAAAAGTGCACAATTTTTGTTCTCCCTTCGGACCCTTGAAACAGGTTTATAAATTTTATTTATCGTTTATCCTTTAAAAGATATATGCCATTGACAGTTTTCGGTGGGACAAACTCTATATCATTAAGTGTGTAATTGAACGTTTACTATAAGGAAGTAGAATAAATGTTGAATGGGCCGGGATATAAAATAAAATGTATGTACATTTTTTAATCTAAATTAATATAATATACTTTTTTTAATTGGTATATTTTTTATATAATCGGCTTCCGAAAATGGTATCTGTATAGTTTCTTAAAATCTGAGTTTGCTTTCTAAAGAAAACAATTAACCAATCCAATCATGCCTTATCTGTTGTACTACAAATATATATTTTTAATTTTGCAGTTATATTATTCTTTAATTACCTATTTTTACAAGTTTTCCTATAAAATGCATTAAAATGTGTTTTAATAAATGTATGGTTTAAAGAATATTTTTAATTTAGTATTTTTAAAGATAATTAAATATTGAGTATTTCATTTAATTTAAAGCCTACTTTAGTAGTATTACGTTAATAGGCATTGTAAAGAATTTCATTTGCAATAATATACTATTATGTTCTTTTAATGTGCTATAAAAGTTTAAGAATGTTTTATTTCCTCTATTTACTACTATTTACTATCATGTAGGTAATGATTCTTAGCTATACGACACACAGTGGTCCAAAAGCCCAAAAACATGGTCAAAATATGAATGTTTAGCTCTATGTTTGCCGAAACAGGGACTTAAGAATTTTTGGGGTCACTGATTACGAATTTGATAACTTTTTTTTCAAAAACAAAATGGCGGATTCAATATGGCGGACATTTTTTTAACAAATATTCTGATATCGCTTAAATTTGACAACATGTCGGTTTTTGAGGTCGCTAAATGCGAATTTAATATTTATTTAAAAAAAAACAAAATGGCGGATTCAATATGGACGACATTTTTTTCAAAAAAAAATTTCTGATATCGCTCAAATTTAGCAATTTATGGTTTTTGGAGTAGCTAATAACAAATTTCATATCCATTTAAAAAAAAAGGGCATCAAATATGGCGGAAAATTAAAAAAAAAAATTGACATTACTTAAATTTGACAGTATGTGGTTTTAGGTCGCTGATAACTAATTTGATTTAAATTTTCCCAAAAACTATATCATTTTTCAAAAATTAAAATGGCAAAATTTAGAAAAAAGAATGATCTGATATCTCAAAATTAGCAACCTTTGGTTTTTGAGGTAGCTGATAACAAATTTGATATTCATTATTCCAAAAACAAAATGGCGTATCCAATATTTTTTATTTATAACTACCATACATAAAAATTATCAATGCGGTTTTATAACATTTTATATAGATATTAAACCTGAGACACACTGTTTATTTTAATATAATTTTTATCAATATATTTATTATAAGACCACCACTTATTTAAATCGTCTGACAAAACATTTCTTTTAATAAATTAAATTTTATAACAATTTCATTAATGATTCCCTGATAAAATAAATTTCCTGATATTTCTCGGTTTTAGAGAAAGTAAAGCTACATGTGCACTATGTTATGTACCAAAAGAAAAACGCGCGCAGCTCTACAAAATGTCATGGTACAGCCAAAGTCGCAGCCAGTCGCAAGAAATTTTGACGATTTATATTTGTTTTATCAATATTTCAACTTCAAATTTTACAACAGCATGGGATCTCGTGGGATAACTATTTAAATGATTTTAATGGGACGAATCGATAAATGTTCATATTATACAGTTGCTATTTAAAGTCATTTTTATATCTCGTAAAATATCATAATTTAGAAGCTACCTAATTTTTCCTATATACAGGGATGGTAATGTGCTCTTAGGCCGTTTATTAAATAAAGACAAATGCATTATGAGACGTGGGAGTGGTGGAGTGACGTAAGAGTAGTGGGGCAAGTCAGACCGCGCCCCGCGGCTACGATCATCGTCCGAGACGGGCGGCCCGACCGCAGAGTCTGCTCGGCGCAGACAAGAGAATGTGTTGTAACTTACAACTTGTAAGTAAGAGGTAGAACGTTTGTTATAAATTAGGAAATATTCTCTAATAAAAATGGTTTACACCCTTGAAGAAAAGATTCAATTTATAACGTGGCATTTAAATGGGATCTCAGATCGAGAAACTCAAAGATTATTTCCAAATATGTTCCCAAATAGACCCTTACCAGCAAGGGCAACAATTCAAAATGTTGTAAATAAATTGAACATTTGCTTTAAATTATTTTTTCTTTACGTTTTTTAGAATACTTTTTTATTTGAGAATATTTGTTTTTTTATTACATGAATATTATTGTTTATTTTCCACATTTCCTAAGAAATATTTGCAAGGAATTTTTGTTTCTGTAAACAAAATCATAATAAGATATTTACGTTGTTTTATAACAACCGACTACACCCTACCACAGTCGTAATGAAACTGACACTAAATAGTAGCAAATCTCGAACATGTCGAGTGGGCGGGACCTGCCCGGCGGGTAACGCAGATAGTTAAAGAAGGGGAAGCAAAACATTGGCGTGTAATAGACCGTTTTGATTTAATTGTTTTAAAAATTTCTACTGGACGCTCATGACGGAGGGGAATCACGTTTGTTAACCAGTCGATGGTTGTTAATCTCACTCTTTCGTACGTTTTATATTGCATGCATCTTTGTCACAATTTGGCCTAAATGTGCATTATTACCACTGTATATATAGTTTAATACGCTTTTGGCCAGCTTTTTTTTATATTTTGGACCACATGCGACATTTAAAAACACTAGTTAACATATAAAATGTTGTTGCATCGCAAATCAAAGATATATTTTTTAAAATGGATATTTTGTAAAAATATATACATGTATAGAAGTATAATAAAAGCAAGTTTGCTCTGACTTATTATTTTTTTCAAGTTACTAATATAAAAAAATCAAAAACATATTCTATTTCTATTTAAGTAATTAAGTAGATGCATAAACCTTTACAAATGTTTATAAATATGAGTCCGCAAAAGTTTGAATTCTTTTTTTATATTTGTTTGTTAAATTTTTTACTGTTTTAAGTATACAGGGGAAGTTTTAAGTTGACACGTTCCTTTTAACAGCGTGTAGAAATCAGATAAACAAATAAATATTTTAAGTAACTTTTTTATCAAAACTCAAAAATAAGAGAGTTATAGGCCTTCCAAGTTTAATTAAATTTTGAGCCGGCCCTGGCTATTGTTAACAAAAAACATAACCATAAAAATAAAAATAACAAAATAAACAATGCAAAATGTCATCTATGACAACAAACATAACCATTTAAATCAAAATGACATTTAGCAATAAAAAATGTCATTATTTACCTGGTTTTTTGTGCCTCAATTATTGTTAAAAATGGTTCATAATTATAGCAATAATGAATTAGTGGAAATGTTACTAATTTATGGAGAGTGTCGTCAAAATGCAAATGCTGCAACTTAAGTAAATAATGACATTTTTTATTGCAAAATGTCAATTTGATTTAAATGGTTATGTTTGTTGTCAAATATGACATTTTGCATTGTTTATTTTGATATTTTTATGGTTATGTTTTTCGTTAACAATAGCCAGGACCGGCTTAAAATTTAATTAAACTTTGATGGGCTATAACTTTTTTATTTTTGAGTTTTGATAAAAAAGTTACTTAAAATATTTATTTGTCTAGCTGATTTCTACACACTGTTTAAAGGAACGCGTCAACTTAAACCTCACCCTGTATTTTAAATAAACTATATTTTAAAATTAAAGCATGATCCATACCATGAATATAGAATTTAAATTAACTTTTTTTAACAATTACACTCTGTATAGTTACACAATAATCCTGATTCTTAACACAACAATTTTAATTTGCAGGTACAAAACTGCTATTGTACGATCCATTTTCCGTCCGACCTACCTTGACCTGAGACACGCTGCGATGTCCTCCGTGTCCTGCGATTCTTCCTGCTGTTGCTGCTGCAGACAGCCGGTCTGTCGGCCGACGCTGACGCGCAAACTATCGGCATCGTGTATCGTTGCCCAGGGGCTGAGGGCGGTGCCGCTTAACAGCACCACACGCTTGAACAGACCTGCAAAATAGATAACATTGTTTTTTAAGTACCCAGTGTACTTACAGTAACTGTACACTGCATAATTCCATCTTGTGATAATCTACAGTTTTCTATATTTTGAAAGTGCGTGTGAATTGTTTATACATTTAATTTTATAAAAATCAGATTTGTTAACATGAGTTTATACTATATAAACTTTATAGTTGGTTAATTTTATTTTGTATAATTTTAAAATAATTTTTTGTAGAAAACTAGGGTTTGTAATTATTTTAACAAATAAAAATATATTACCGAAAGCTTTGGTAATATGCATTTTTTAAGCATTTTGTTAATTTCAAAGATTACAGATTATTTTGTTAATGTTTAACAAATTATTTCGTTAAAAAAGTACACGTGGTTACAGGCAGTCAATAAAAACATTTCTCACTGACAATACGCATCAACAAGTTCACCTGACTTCAGCGTACTTTATTTTAATTCGTAACGTGTTCGTTACAACTGTCCAGAGTGTTTATAACATATTACCAGAAATCTGATATTGTTATTTGGATAACTTATACCTATTTAACGAGTGTGGGAAGTGCGAAGTATCCGAAGGTGGTTTTCAAACTGAAATTAGGAAATACAGTGAAGTGGGTTAAAGTTACGAAATACATCAGTAGGTGTTGTAGTAGTACTGATAATAATATTGCACCAAATTTCTTTATAATTTGATGATTTCACAATGGTGTGTATATAATTTTTGTGTTCATTTATGTAGTTATGTGTTAATTTTTTTGTTTACTAAATTAATTAATAAAGCAACATTTCTTATCAAAATTCTTTTCATTTAAGTTCCCAATTTCCAACATACTTTTGTTACTGGGTGTACAAAAAGGTTTCTAAAAATAATTGAAAATTACAAGAATTATGGTTGAATTATTGATGTAGGATTTTGATAATAAATCTACAAAATGATTGTTAAAATTACAAACTACTTATTCAATTAGTTAACAGATTACTAGAGATGGGATATTTAGGTACTAAAAACTGAAAAATAGGTAACTAAAAAGGTACTAAAAAAAAGCATTTTAGGTTAAAAAAAACAGCATTTTAGGTAATTACAGAACATAAGCTCACTACAAAGAAGGTAACTGTAAAGAAAGTTACTGTTACAGTCTGTGACCATAAGAAAACATTCTATACCGTTGAGTTGCACGCCCTGGATAAAATATTGGCGCAAAATTTAAAAAGAGCACAAAAAAATAAAATAAGTAAAAATACGTAAAAATAGGTAACAAATAGGTTTAAATATAAACTGACTTAAAAAATATGTAACAAAAGTATAAAAAGGTACTTTAAAGCAAAAACCTCCAAAAAAGGTAAACAAAGGTGAAAACAAGTTAAAAAATAGGTAACAAAAGTATAAAAAAGGTAGTTTAAAGCAAAAACCTCTAAAAAAGGTAAAAAAGGTGAAAACAAGTTAGGTTCTTATAAAAGAAAATCTTTTAAAACACATTTTGGCATTATTGGTTTTCAAATAGTTACATCGGCTGAAAAAAGGTAAAATAACTAAAATCCCATCCCTACAGATTACAGTTGGTTTTAAACTTAACATAAAGTTATGTGGGCCTAAATTAACATAAAATCTGCTTAATATTTGGTTAAAATTAACAAATATTGTTTTACTGTGTTATTGGATTTTATACTATATTAAGATCATAACAATCCACATCTATTATAGAAACAACAGTTAAACAACTGGCCGACTCTACTCTTTTGACCTCAACCGCCTAGGCGCGCCTATACGTTAGGTAGGTCATGGTTTAAACGAATCCAGTGGCTGCTAAACAAATTACGTGAATTTTTATGATTTTTTTATTAAAAAACGGTTGCAAAAGTTAGGTTTTGATTTGATTAGCAAATTTACTGTTAATTTATATTTTAAATAATCTTTTTATATAAAAATTGTATCCATTGTAAATGACTGATAATTGTGTTTAATAGTACATTATGTATCAAGTTTGATAAACGCCATTTTAGTCACGAATTTAATTTAGCTTGCGAGCGAGGGCTTATTTAAATGAGTGTCTAAGTTTATAAACGAGTTGCATAATATACTTTTTCTACTAGAATTATTTATTATTATCTAAAAATGATTTAAATTAAATATTTGTTTAAAGAGACATCCATAAAACATAGTGTTATTCTCGTAAGTATTTCTTTCTAACTTGGAAGTCTGTATTACAGGCGCGTCCATCAAAATGTTAAATTTGTATGTGTAAATTGAAATTTATTCCTTGAAAATAGACTAACAACACAGTTTTTCATAGTGAAAGTGAAGTAAATGTTTTATGGGCACCTCACGGTACCGGACATTTTAAATGTTTTATTAGTTAAATCTAGTGCTGCCGGCGAAATCAAAAGGTCAGTACAAACTTGGATATAAACTTTTTAAATAGGTCTATACCTATTTACGCCTATGCGTTGAGAAACTATTTAATACTGTTTTATTTTTGTATTAAAAATAAAATAAATTCCTTAATATTATTTTACAAGGTCACTTTATTTTAACGATTGTATGACATTTGACAACTGTCAACTAACTTCAGCCCGTGACTAAAATTCCATGAAGCCACAACGTTAATGTGTATTTAATACATAGTATATTATGTATCAAGTTTTATAAACACCATTTTAGTTACGAGTTTTATTAGGCACGAGCGAAGATTGCGAGCGAGTGTTTAATAAAAACGAGTCTCTAGAGAAGTTTATAAAACGAGTTTTATACTATACTTTATCTACGACGAACAAAAATAAGAATTTTAAGCCAATTTTAATTCATACATTTTTGACATTTGACGAATTTAACCTCACTTTTTCGCAATTTATAATAAAGCTAACTTCAGCCCGGGGACTAAAACGCCATAAAGTCAAAGCTTGTCAATGTAGGAGTAGATAAAGGTCATTTAGTGCCATGTAAACATATACCATAATGGGCGTTTTAAAGGTGGGAGTAGAAAATAGTATATTATGTATCAAGTTTTATAAACGCCATTTTAGTTGCGAGTTTTATTAGGCACGAGCGAAGCTTGCGAGCGAGTGTCTAGAGAAGTTTATAAAACGAGTTGCATACTATACTTTTTCTATTCCCACCTTTAAAACGCCCTTTATCGTACATGTTTCCATGACACTAAGTGACCTTTTAAATACACATTGACAAGTTGTGGCTTTATGGCTCTTTAGTCACGACTGAAATTAGCAACAGGTTTTTACTCACGGGCTGAAGTTAGTTTTAAGTTAGTTGACAGTTGTCAGATTTCATACAATCGTTAAAATAAAGTCCCTTTCTTGTAAAATAATACTAAATGTGAAAATTATTTTATTATCTCAATACAAAAATACAAAAGTATTAAATAGTTTCTCAACGCCAATATTTAAAAAGTTTATATGAACACTGTACTGACCTTTTAATTTCGCCGGCAGTAAACTATAACTTAAATTCGGGCACGGACTCCACTGTAAAGTGCTCAAAAAACATTGTCTTTACTTTCACTGTGAAAAACTGTAAATTTTCAAGAAAAACATTTAGATTTATAACCTTTATAATCTGTGTTTATAAAATATAAAAAATTGTCATTTGACGGTGACACACAGATTCCCCTATTGTTTCATATATGGCAAATTTTTGATTGAAATCATTTTAATATAATAATAAGTATTTGTCGTAGAAAAAGTACAGTATGCACCTCGTTTATAAACTTTTCTATACACTCATTAATTTAGGCACGAGCGAGCTTGTGTATAAAATGGCTTTTTCAAACTTGATAAATAATACACTATTATTTACGATGAACAGAAATACGAATTTAAAGCCAATTTTAATTTATAAATATTTGACATTTGACGAATTTAACCTCACTTTTTCCCCAATTTATAATAAAGCTAACTTTAGCCCGTGACTAAAGTGCGCAAAAGCCACTAACTGCAGGCCGTGACTAAAACGCCACAAAGTCACAGCTTGTCAATGTGGGAAGATGGATTTATTTTGTTGTATACTTACAAAAGATTTTCATTACTTTTTCAGTGCATATACGCCAAAATATTTTTCAGCCATCAGTCTTAACAGCTCGCTCTCCACAGGTCCAACTTTTTTTATGCCAGAGCGCTTAACTGGCCCTATAACCATACTAAAGCAAACAAAATAATACGAACATTTGCACAAAAGTTTGTGTATTTGCTCTCATAGTTCTGCAGGTGAAAAATTTAATACTTAATTAAAATTATTATGTACAACATTTTTTTCTGGAATTACCTGCCTATGTGCTTTTGCTATTTAATAATGTTAATGTTAATAATGTTAAAAATGGAAGTTTATATAGTATATATTAAGTTTGATAAACGCCATTTTAGTCCCAAATTCAAATTAGGCACGAGCGAGCTGTGAGTGAGTGTTTAATTAAATAAGTGTAAAAAAAATTATCAAACTTAATATATATATTTTTTTCTACGACAAATACTCATTATTATTTAAAAATTATTTAAATTAACTCTATTTTTATATAGATTAATTAGTGGCATGGACACATGTAGGATAATGACCGTTTTGTTATTGGGATTAAAAATAATAATTAACTAAACTTAAGACTACATATTTAAAACCGTTGTAAACCTTAAAATTCAAAGTTTGAACGCCTTACCAAAATAACAATTTAAAGATAAAAAAATAAATTTTTATATTGCTAAAACTGGCGCATTCATTATACTTTTATGTAATATTTTTAGAACTCTTTATTATTCCGGGTCTTCGTTCCTGATTGGTCTCATATTAGGTTTGATTAATCCTGCACTGCGGTTTTTTCGGCCTATCCCTACCCTCTTCTCTCTTGTCACACTGTAACCGCTTCAATACCTTTATGGCAAAGCTTTGTAATTAAAAGAGACAATTTTTACAAATATTCTATTTGACTGGACTAGTCACCATTATGTATCTTATCAAACACTTTAATTGAACATTTACCTCTTTTATAATGTATTTT